AAACTATTGTAAAGGTTTTGATAATTCGATGATAATAATACTACTGACACAAGTGTTCATTGATAAGGTAGAGTCTAATGTGGCGTGTATAAGAAAAGACATCCTAATATAAGGTTAAGAAAAAACGTTATTTGAAATGTTAATATTTTATGTTGTTGTACAGTAGAACTACCCGTAGCAGGGATATCTAAGGAAATACATCTTAATATAATGCTAAGAAAATGTGTTACCCGAAATATTAATATTTTTAATATTTTCAGTAGAGCGCTACCTAAAATGTTATTTTTTCTACTGGAAATATTAATATCGAACGCTATCTAAACTATTATTTTTTCTACCCAAAATGTTAATATCAAAAATATTCATTTTAGATAGTAAAATTAACATTTCTGATAGAAAAAATAACATTTTAATTAACGCTTTACCGAAAATACTAAAAAATATTAACATTAACGGTAACACATTTTTTTAGTCTTATTTGAGACTGTCGTACAGTAGAATTACTCGATAGCCGATGTTACGCGGTCAAAATTCACATGTGGGTTTGGCGTAGGACCTACGCCTTTGATTATTATTAGGAATCAGTAATGTGCATATCTTCTTCCATTAAGTTGCATGTTTGCCACGTATGCCTTTCATCTTCTTCATGCAATTCTACTCTCTCACGTGAAAACAGAGAGTGTTTCAGGTTTTCAATTATTTTAATTTTAAGAGTATACAATGCTTTTAGTATTTAATTTGTTAGTTTCTTTTATCTATTTTAGTATTTAAATTTTTATTTTTTTAAAATTATATGTAACTTTTATTTTATTGTTTCATTTTAATACTCGTTAAAAACTTAATATTAAGTTTTTTAAAAAATGAAAGTTTAAGTACTAAAACATACTAAAACTAATAGTTTAGGTATAAAACTCATTAAGTTTTTAACAACAAGTACTAAAATGAAACAAAAATTAAACATTAAATATGATTATAAAAAAAATTGAAAGTTTATGTAATAAAACAGACCAAAAATGATAGTTTATGTACTAAATACATAATTCACCCTTATTTTAATTTGTTGAAAGTTGAAACAGTCCACTTCGGTTAAATTTTAGGTATGGTCCCTTTATTATGCTCAAATTTGCAGATTTAGTCCTCTATACTTCAATTTAAAATAATTTAATCATCTATTTTTATAATATAATTAGTTATGAAAACCGTTAATACCATTAATCATTTTAGTTAAAATATAGATATTTCAAAAAATCATTTTATTTAATATATATTATATTAATTTTTTTAAGAAAATCATATTTGTAATTAAAATAATTAACTATATTAATAATTCACAATAATTAATATCATTATAAAAGTAATGAGATATAACGGTTTGGATGATTTATGGGGTAATTCGTGTTCTATTACAATATATACACATCTCACAGATACAATTATTTATACTCGAAATTTCTCCGAAGAACGCCATTCTCTTCAACTTCGTAATAAATATTTCGATTTGATTCGTTTTCCGTTTTTCTTGATTGCTTCATCCAACCCTGACAATTATGTCAAATAAAATAAAGGGACTAAATCACAAGGTGAACTTAATAGAGGGACCAAAATCTAAAATTGACCGTCAACTTGTCTCCCCCCCCCCCCCTTTTTCTTTTTCTTCTTTCTCGGCCTTGCGACTGGGCTATGGCGGCTTACAGTTGGCGAGTAGAGATAGCAAAGAAAACGCAGCGTTTTCAGGTCTTTGGTGTGCTAACCAAAATCCAAGTTAAACTTGCTAACAAGAGGGGAAAATCAAGCTGGGAAAACGAGAAAATTAAACAGTTGAGGGGATTGGAGAGTAGGAGCAGTGAATGGGAAAAAAGTAGATCACGAGAAACTTGGGTTTTCTTTTACAAAAACTTGATTCCAATATTAATTTAAAGGTGTTGCTTTGCATCGATAGAATGGCAAATATTATGGGCTCTAATAATTGCTTTTCTCAACTATTTATTTTTAGGATAAAGTACATAAATGGTTCTCTATTATAGGATATTGATTTATTGAGTCCCTTGATTATTACAGTGACAAAATGATCCCTTGACTGTAGAAAGTTATTTTGCTGAGTCTCTCGATTATTAAAAGTTACAAAACAGTCATTTTACTATTCATTATATTCTAAATTTGTCCTTCTCCGTTAAAATATTAATGATCATCTAAGTTAGACGTTAACATGCTGACTGAGATATGATAGTCGTTTGAGATTATAAGATCAAATTTTATCATATCTCAGTCAGCAAGTTAATGTACAGCACAGACTGTCGTAAAACTTTTAACGGAGAAGAACAAATTTAGAACATAATAGTGACAATTTTGTAACTTTTAAAAGTTTATGGACTCAACAAAGCAACTCCTTATAGTCGATGGATCATTTTATAACTTTTAATAGCCAAGAGATTCAATAAAACAATATCCTATAGTCAGGAGACCATTTACACTATGTAATTTTTTTTAAAACTTTATACCTGGACCATTAGATGAGAGAGATTAAATGATGAGATTAACAGTAGAAAACGAGAAGATATTCACTAGGGGAAAAAACAAGGAGTTAATATCAATGTTTGACAACGATCCTAGAAGTGTGTAAAACTAAAAATTTTACTGTAAGTGGATCACAACCCTAGATATAGTTTTACACATTTTTTGGACCATTAGACGAGATAAATTAAAGACTGAGATTAACAGTAAAAAATGAGAAGATATTAGGGGGAAACAAGAGTTAATCTCAACATTTGATTTATTTCAATCGAACGATCATAGAAAGATATAAAACTAAAAGAATTTTATACAGTGTGTGTAAGTCGATCCAAATTGCGTGTATATATATCGTGTTTGTAAAATATCTTGAAATTTGATATCCAATCTAGATTGACCACGATAGTTGCATGGACTAATGAGAGTCAGGCCCAAAATATACGTAAAAGGAGGCTGAAATTACAATCATTGACTATGTTATATCAACATTGAGCATTGATTAAAGTAACCAAGTTGTTTACCAACATGCAGCCTTATCATTTCTTGAGTTATAAAAGAAAACATCAAAACCGTTACAAGTTGGTGAATCAAAATAATTAATGTGAGTAAAAATAGTTAAAAAAAATTGAATTGATCTCTTATTTGATCAATTTACCATGTTGATTTTGAGTAGAGGAGATGTATTATAATGAAGCATCCCTATGTTTTTACTGATGATCTTTGTTTTAACATTATAAAATTAATATGTATAATTTATTTGTGAATATAATTTTAACATATATAATTATTTGTATCTATAAAATATATAAGTTTGTAATATGTAAACATATAAGATATATCCGCCCACTGTAAAACTGTTTAGGTCTTTGCATTAAGCCTGTAAACGAACAGAACGAACACGAACGAGAGTATATTCATGTTCGTTCGTTTAATTTTAACCGAATAAATGAACGAACACGAACATAAACGAACAAAAAATTTTGTGTTCGTGTTCGTTCGTTAAGGAAAGTAGCTTGTTCGTGTTCGTTCATGTAAATGATAAACGAACACAATAAACGAACGTAAACGAATACAAATAAACATAAAAGAACACAATAAACGAACGTAAACGAATACAAATGAACATAAACGAACACAATAAATGAATATAAACGAACACAATAAATGAACATAAACGAACGTAAATGAACATAAATGAAAAAATATATTTTTCTTTCCTAACAATTTTAGGATTATATTTTATTTAATTTTTTTGAGTTTTTTATTTATATTTAAAATTAATTGAATTTTAAAATATTTATGGGTATTATATTAAAACTTATTGGGTTTTAATATTTTAAATAGGTCTAGAGAGATTGGGCTAAACATAAATAAACGCACATAGACGAGCAAACATAAATGAACATATTACCGAACGTTCATGAACGTAAATGAACGAACGAACTCTCTGTTCATGGTCGTTCATTTAATTAAATGAACACAAAATCTTGTTCATATTCATTCGTTAGTAAATAAACGAATATAAACAAACTTCCTGTCGAACTATTCACGAACACAACCCACACGTGTGTACACACTACGGATATCCAAATAAAATAGGGTAGGGTTAACTATCTGATTAGTACTTAAACTATCATTATTAGTTCGCTTTAGCACTTAAATTTTCATTTTTTAAAACTTAATGTTAAATTTTAAAGGATGTATTAAGATGAAATGAAAATCAAATGTTATGTATGGTTTTGAAAAATTAAAAGTTTACGTAATAAATATGTAGTTTACCCCAATAAAATATGGGCAGCAAATGAAAAATCAAAAAAGGATAAATCAATGTTTAGTCCTTGTATTTGTCAATATTTTCATATTAGTCTCTGAAGTTTATTTTGATTTTTATTAGTCCTTAAATTTGATATATTTTCTTAATTCAAAACTTTGTTTTAATCTACATTAGTCCATGAGTGTGACAATTTTCTTTTCATTCTCATTTAGTGATGTATCATTTTAATATTATTATACATCATCAAAATGACTAAAAACAAGTAAAAGAAAAATCAATTCAAGTTATTTTGGGGTTGTCATTCAAATATCATCTCAAATCTAGATATACAAATTTTCAAGTGTTCAAACATTAAATTTTAAACATTATTTATTGAGTGATTGAATATATAATTAATACACGTCTTATTATTATCCTATTTGTGCTCGTACAATTACGCGTTTTTACACGTTGCATAAGATTATTCTTTTTGAAAAAGGATAAACTATATTGGTAACCACTTAATTATTGTCTGATTGATTAAATCGAAACGTTAGTGGTCAAAGTGAAATCCAACGATAGTTAAGTGGTCAAAAGTGGAATTTAACGTTTGAAGGAAAACAAAGCCAGCAAAGCAAGTAGTACTGTAGCAGCAGACAGATGGTGTTCGTAGAAGTTATAGATAAAGCAGGAGATGGGAGAGACGAATCCCATTTGCCAATGGTTTTTCAGTACATTTTGTAACGTTCAATCTTCAATCTCTCTCTCTCTCTCCAAATTATTATTACGATTCTCTGCTGCTCATAGAAAGCTTCTTCAGTTTCCCTCCCCCTTTCTTCTCACTGTTACTGCCTTTCTTCCAAAACCAGCCAAAAAGAAAAGCAAAACGAAAGCCTCCTGAGGATGAAAGAGATGGTCCTTGGAGCGAGCGGCGTCGTTTGGATGGGTGGCGAAGAGGAAGAAGAAGATGCAATTTCTTCCTGGAATCGAACCAACAACGATACCGACAATAATGTTACCGGTAACGGATTCGAGGCTAAGGAAGATGAGTTGGGTATGTCGGCTGCTTCTCTTTCGAGTTTCAGGTCCATGCTCGATGATGATTGGTACATTAATCCTGCTATGAACCAGGAGCTTGGTTTTGGTTGTAACCAGGTTGACAACAACAATCTTCTTCTTCACCACTCGATTGATTCGTCTTCTTCTTGTTCTCCCTCGCAGGCCTTCACGCTTGACCCTTCACAGTCTCACCCCTTGTTACCCCCTAAATCTTGCTTCTCTTCTCTCCTCAACGTCTCCTGCAACAACCCTTTTGATAATAATGCCTTTGATTTCGGTTCCGAATCGGCTTTTCTCGCTCAGTTTCAGCCGAATGTAGCCTCGAATTTGATGGTTTTCCCCCAGGCTCAAATGGGTACTTCCGAGTTCACCTCGAGCTCCGAGTTTCAAGGTTCGAGAATGTTCGCTGGAACCGAGAATGCTTCTTCTTTGAGCGGTGGGTTTAGCGGCGGTGCTTTTGACGGGTCGGGGAATTCCCTGTTTATGAACAGGGGAAAGGTTTTGGAGCCCCTTGAAGTTTTCCCTTCACTTGGTTCTCACCCGAATCTGTTTCAGAAGCGAGCTGCGATGCGTCAGGGCTCTGGTGGATCTGATAAATTGGGGAATTTGGATGTTTCGGGGCTGAGATTCGGAGGGGAAGCGTCGGAGGGAAAGAGGAAGAGGCATGAAGAAGGGGATATTGAGGAAGCCAGCATCGATATATCAGGCTTGAATTATGATTCCGATGAGAGGAATGATGATTGCAAAGTGGAGGAGACTGTGAACAACGGTGGGTGCAACTCAAATGCAACTAGTATTGTTACCGGCGGCGGTGGGGATCAGAAGGGGAAGAAGAAAGGTATGCCGGCGAAAAATTTGATGGCGGAGAGACGGAGGAGGAAGAAGCTCAATGACAGGCTTTACATGCTTAGGTCTGTTGTGCCCAAGATTAGCAAGGTATATCATCTTTGAAAGTTCTCATGGCATTTGATTATTATAGACTGGCATATTCTTTTGTGATACAAAGTAATTTATATTGAGAGTTTGAGAACATGCATGTTTAATTTGAGTTTTCCCCCTTTTCTTTTAATATTACTTGTTGTCTGTTGAGTGATTGTGGTTGAAATTTGTTTACGGTCATTTTGGTGTTCCTTCAATTGATACTTATATCCATGGCGGCTACTCATTGTGCTTATCATTTCACAGATGGATAGGGCTTCAATACTCGGGGATGCCATTGATTATTTGAAGGAGCTTCTGCAAAAGATTAATGATCTCCATATTGAACTTGAATCAGCTCCATCTGGCTCTTTGATGTCACCATCGAAAAGTTTCAACCCGGTGACTCCGACCCCACCTACCCTTCCATGTCGTGTGAAGGAAGAACTACGCCCCAACTTGTTCGCCGGCTCTAAAAGCCAACCGGCTAAGGTAAACTTTTGGACCTAAAAGTTCACTTATTTTTCCCCCCTACTGTTTGCTTTATTTTCTTACTTTCTGTTTGTGTATAAGTCTTTTGCCCTACTAGGCAAAAAAAATTGACATGTATGAAATTTGAAAATTTTTAGGGTGAAAGGGGCAAAATATGGATGCTTGTCTGTTCTTTTCTGGTATTGACTTGCATGATTTCACCAAGACAAATAAGTTATACATTGAGCCAGCGTGTTGCATAAAGTTGCACTCTTTCTAACTCGACTATGAACTGATAGACTTTAAAATGATTTGTGTTTAAATTTGATTCCAGAAAGTTAACAGTGCCCTGTTGAACCTTTAACATGCACTTCTTAGGTTCTACATTTGTTGATTGATATCATCATGAAATTAGAATACTATACTTCTCATGTCATCTGCTGCAATCCATAGCCTTGGTTGAAGAGCTTCTTTGATTTGAATAATGAACAAATGAAGAAGCGAGATATTTGTTCTTTCCCGAAAGTTTCAGTGATCTCAATATGCATTTGGACAGATATATGCTTAACTTTCACCAGGTTGTGTCAATGTAATTTTTTCGTAAATGTTTTGAGCAATAACTCAAATAACTCCCAACTTTTATGCTTCTGTAATTTCCAGGTGGAGGTTAGGGTAAGGGAAGGAAGGGCTGTCAACATTCACATGTTTTGTGCTCGCAGGCCAGGTCTCTTGCTCTCCACTATGCGAGCTCTAGACAACCTTGGACTGGGTGTAGAGCAAGCTGTAATTAGCTGTTTCAATGGATTTGCACTGGATGTGTTCCGGGCTGAGGTGCACTTCTTTCTTCTCTTCTCGGCTTAATATGCTTTTGGTGATTTCCAACCGATTATATATACTCTTCTCGTATAATTGCAACTAACATCTTTTTAACAATTTTAATGAATGTGTGGCTTCTTTCCAAGCCATGCCAATTCCACTGCTAAACCGAATCCCTAAATAGAGTTCTTTCTTGTGCTCAACTCATATAACAACAACTACAACGAAGGAATGGACCTTTATATTTTGCTAGTTCGGCCGTAGTTTAAAAAGTAACTGGTTTAGGTAAAAGGCAAGTTCAAATAATGCTATAGACCATGAGCCAAGACCCCTAAGGTTGAAGACTCAACTCTCTTATTGTCCTGTATAGGAGACTGACTACATGTACTGTTTGCACATGGATTGATGTAAGAATCCTGGTTTATAGTGGAACCTAGGTTGGTAATGCTTTAGTACACTTTTCTTTTCTTCTTTTTCCTTTTTGTTGCCACAAATTTTTAAAACCCGGCTCCCGCCATATGAAAAGCTAATAGCTAAGGTTAGTAATTGTCGATCTTAGATAAGTGAAACAATTACTCCTTGAGATAAGTTTGAAGCCATTGCCGGAATTCACCCGATCTACAAAATAATAAAAGCCGGGAAAGATTGCCACCTAGGTAACATGATATAGAAAACTGGAGGAGAGTGGCAACCAAGAACAAATCATTTAGTATAGGAAATGGTTATCTAGATCAAATATTGCTATATGGGGTGACATTCATATATTTCGATCAAGAGATTGATTAGTTGTTTGGTTTATTGTTCAACAGCAATGCAGAGAAGGGCAGGACTTAATGGCTGAGCAAATCAAAGCGGTGCTTCTGGATTCTGCTGGTTTCAATGGTATAATGTGAATTGAATAGCTTGTCTTATACCTCGGGGGTAATTCATAAACTCGATTTGCTCGAGCATCCCATCAGTGAAGGACTGATTTTCAAGTCGAACATTTGTAGGTGGCGCAAGCAAAGCATCATTAGTTGATAACGTTAGTTACTTGGCTTTTATTTGTTAAGTACAAGAATCTCGTTTGCAGTTTGTCTCAAGTAATTTCAGCTTTTAGAAATAAAACTCTCCTTATTTTATACCTGATTTCCCTTTTGTTCTTTCGTATTGGTTGCGGCCTGTCCTGGGGAATGAACAAATTTGGTAACTAATTTCACCAAACACACTATCCAAGGCTCTTCCAATGGGCTTTACTGAAACCCCATTTCCCTCCAGAAGTCAGTATTTTAGGGTTTAAACTGCCACCTTCTCAACCGTCATGGCTCGCACACTTGATTTTGGCCGCCTCGATGAAGGATTTGGCGGCCTAACTTACAAACAAAAGCACCAACAATCTCGATCCACCTCCTTGGTAATCAATAGCAACGATATTGCCTTGATGGTTCCGATTGTCCCGTTCGATATGATACTCTTCTTTGGTTATTTTAGTAGAAACTTATATATAAATGGGACCGTTAGTTTTTACTGAATTGGATCGGTAGTGTTTCCAAATTGGATCAATAATGTTCCCGAATTCTACACAAGCGTACCAATGCAAAATTCACTAGGAATATACTGATTTCTTGCAACAATGTTGGTGTCTGTCTACAGCCAAACCAAGTATAAATGTGAAGCTGTTCGGAAATACCATGAACTTTTACTTATCTTCTTCTCCAAATCGAAACTATGTTGTATCATTAAGGAAGTTTATATGTCGTTATACAGCAAGTAGAAGTTTTGTATATATACATTAGATCACACACACACAAATATATATATATCTCCCATGCTCAAAGCTGCGGAGGATCCTGGTGACTAGGTCAATAGCTTCTAATACACTCCCCTTTGATACCCTTGGCTACAGAACTCGCCACCCAGATCATCACACGCCTCAGCGCAGAAAACCCTGCATGTACGCATGCGGAACAAGCGCAAACGATATGAAATCACTGGTCAGAAAAATGGTAGGAGTTATTATATATGTACATGTATAGAAATTTGGTTAACTTGTCGAGAAAGTAATTAATACGTTTTCGCATCATTGTATTCGAGATATTCTCTGTCTACCGACTCGGTTGCGGTCCTAGGAGAGTCGGTTCTGGCTTCTGGTTGCAGCCTCACTTCAGGGTATATGTCTGCACGACATGCATCTCCACCTATTGTCTCGCACGCCTCTGCTGGAAACACACTGCAGGCATCGATTAAAGCTCTTTTTGTGTCAAATGAACAACATAACTTATCTTTCAAGCTATGAACTCGACCGTATCCAATTTTTTAGTGAAAATGAACCGAACATTCGGTAAATTGTTCTTATAATGTTCGCTTATTATGCTAAAGTATAAAACATGGGGCTTACGAGAACATAGAGCTGTAGTCAACAACGGAAGTGTCATAGGTGGTGGCGACTGCTTTGATCGAAAGGCGGCGGCCACGGGAATAGACAGAGCAGCCGAGCCTCGGGGACAAGGCTTTGGAGGGAGGGAGAGTAGTAGGAACAAGGGGTGGTGCAATGCTAAGAGCTGCTTGCATCTTGGAATGTTTTGGATAATGAGTTCTATACGGTGAAATTGAAGTGTTGAAGTTAATTTATAGGGGAGGGTGGGTTGGATATTTGCCACTCAGTGTAGATAAGTGCAACAATCCTATTGTGTTGGAGATATTTTGGGAGCCTTTTAAGATATTTTATTGCACGAAATAAATATCTGATTTTGCTTTTATCATATTTAGGGAGGTTTTATCTAAAAAGGACTGGGATGACTTAATTTATATTGATAGGGCTTAAAAATTTGATGAAAATTTATTTTGAGAGAAAAAAATATATATTTTTAAGAAGGATAGGTCAGGATGAAGCTTGAGGGATACATATAAATATAAATAAAATGATGGTAAGAGTATAATTGTTAAATCATCATATTAAAATTATGGGTAAATTATGCGTTTAGTACCTAAATTATCAATTTTGGTCCGTCTAATTTAATTTTTTTTCAAAATCATTCCTAAAGTTCAGTTTTTGTTTCATTTTAGTGTCTGTCGTTAAAAACTTTAGTTTTTGTTTCATTTTAATATCCCGTTAAAAATTTAACATTAAATTTAATTTTTTTTTAAGTTTAGGTACTAAAACGGATCAAAACTAATAGTTTAGGTACTAAAAGTGTTAAACTTTTAATGGATGGTACTAAAATGGAAGTTTAGGTACTAAAACGGGACTTGGCAACTGACACCGGTTAAGTCTAAATGTTATAGTTTAGGTACAAAATTGAAAATTTATGTATTAAAGCTGATAGTTTAGGTACTAAATAGATAATATCCCCTAAAATTAAAAATGAAGGGATATAGGTTCTAATTTGTTTAATTTTCCTAAAAAGTATTTTAACAAGGGGTATGAATTTACCAAAACATAATGTGTTTAGTAGGGGTGGATACTTTTGTTTACTTCCAGCAATTTTAACATCGTTTAAATGGTATATGAAATAAATACAATATAATATCGGGTTAAAACACGACATTATATTGCATTTAACAGATCGACTGAATCCCATGAAATCCCATGATCTTGTTGTTTGAAGTTGATAAACTTTATTGAAAACCCGAAACCACTCCTTTAAAGCATGCTCGCACATGAACCAAGTGACCTCAGTGCTTAAAGAATAGTTATTATTTCTTAAAATCTCGGGTTAAAACACGACGTGCATAGGGGTGTATGACCATAAGAAGTAAAGCTCATGCAAAAGAAATTACTTGCCTTTCTATCTTCCTCCACGGCACCGGAAGGAAGGCTCATGCAAAGCATGAGGATGACACAAAAGTGAAGAAACAACAAGAAACTTGATTTTCCCATTCTTTTTCTATTAATTTTCTAATAAAAATACTAAATTATTAATTATTATTTTACAATTAAACCCTAATTATTATTTTAATGTATTTGTATATTTTTAGTTTGGAGTTTAGACTTTGAATTTGTTTCATACACTCTTTTGATAATTTTTTTTGTTAAATTTATCAATTTACGTTTATATTAATCTTTATATAGTATTAGTAGATTTTAGATATAGCTAAAAAATTAAAATAAAAATTTTGGTGAGCTCAACGAGTAACAAGACAAGCAACGAGGCGAGTAACAAGCTTAACGAGCACGAGTTGAACAAAATTTTAATGAGCTTAACGAGCAACGAGTCGAGTCGAGCAACAAAATTTTTTAACGAGCACAAGTCGAGCACTGCCTAACTCGACATCGACTCGCTCGATAAGCACCCCTAATCATATTCGTCTACAAGAATGAATATTTTCCTGCACTTGGGATTGGCGATCCTCAGCGTTCCTCCTGAGGAGGTTCGACGTAACCTGCTCCGGGATGGCATGAATAATACCTAAAGTCTCCACTGCTAATGCAGTTCTTACTTGTAACCACAAAAAATATTGCATCTTACTAACAAAATGCTCATCAAGTTGGTTGATTCTGGTGCACAATTTAACCAGGTTGTTAGTGGGGCCTTAGATCACTTCATTATGAACGTGATTTGTGTACACATGATATTAAATTGCGATCGCAACGTAACGTAACGGTTACATCGTAACAATTAATTCACAATGTTAAGAACTTGACATGATAATGCCAAGAATTTTAAGGTGTTCGTTCAGTGTTCATTCAGATGACTGCACATGGAAATTTCTCTAATCATACAATACAAAAGTACATTGAAAAATCAATTTATTTCCATATAAGTTAAATTTACATCCTTTTATAGTTCTTGCAGATAAATGCAGCATCTTTAAGGACTGGGAAATTAAATTAAAATATTAACAGAATGCAAGAAATTGGCCAACGTGAACCCGAAGCAACTAATGAGTTACAGACTTGCAGGTTCAGCCATGGAGATTTAGACAGCCTCAGGCTAACCATGTATGAATGACAATTGGACTTCTAACCGTATGAATGCCATCTGATCATGTCAATGATGCAAATGCCATTGATTGTTCACTCAAAGGTTTTCCCTTAACAGTCACATTATATGACTTTTTCTCCGTTAAAGACTCAAAAGATAGAATTTTCGGAATCACTTCGATTTCGAGTTTCGAGTCCGAAAAGATTGTTGCATTGTAAGTAGATGTTGCTACGCCTACATTTGTCATTTGTGACTGTTCTTGGGAAATCGATTGTAAATTGTTCACCTGGTTTAACTTGAGCTGGAAGTGTAGGATAATTGAAGTCTCTTGGCAGCATTTTATTAGAGGTTTTAGGGCAGGAGACTTTAGTTCCTGATACCGCCCTGATCTTACCTTCATCGTATCCAGGACTACACAAGAACCTTAAGCTTTCACCTTCGACGTTGTCGTATACAAGTCTAGGATTGATGGATTTTACAGGGTTGACATGTCCGGATCTGTAACCGAATTCGACATCTGGATTTTTCGACGGATCCATTGGCGATGCTATCGAAAACGAGCAAACAAAGATGATTGTAAGATCGAAAGAACAAGCTAATAGAAGTCGAGTTTGGTGGATTGAAAGATTACCTGTGGTCTAAGAGCAGTTTGATGGCCGAGGGAGACCAATCAGGGTGAAATGTTTTAACATATGCAGCCGGAGCAGCAACATGAGGGCAGGACATGGAGGTTCCCGATATTATATTGTATTTAACGTGCCTTTCATCGATTCCGGCCGATGACGGTGGAGCAACCGGTGAAAATGCAGCCAAGATATCCACTCACAGGGGGGGGTAAGATTTTAAAAATCGAAGTTTTCAAGAGATAACTGTTGGTTTATAGGAAAAATACATGCCTTTAGAATGTCTGGTACAATAACATTAGGTCTCCTTGAAAAGAATGCATCAACAACAGGAGCAGTAGAATCTTCAATTGTTTCACTTTTTGATATTTCTGCTACAACATTTCTGTGACACAAAGATGAAAGGAATCGGTTTCGATTCGCCTAACATGCCAATGTAAAGGGAAATTTACATACTCGGTTGAATTCAGATAGGATTTGAGTGAATCAAAGTGTTCAATGCTTAAAGCTGAAGCAGGAAATGGGACAACAAATGAAACATTACCGGATAAAGTTTGTAGAATTGATCCAAATGCACCGGCACGACGAGCTTCCGGTAGACCTCTGTAGTTATTGCATACAACAATCTTATTCTCTACCAGGGTACTGTCCAAGCAACCAACAGAGCATTCCCTGGAAAAAAACACCACCAAATATCAAACATTTTGCTTATTCTAAATCTTTGTAAATGAAAATACAGCTTGTAAAATGGAACCAACAGAGCACTGGCCTCATCGCACCCGGTTGATGCTTGTAATCCGTAAACCAGAGATTACAAATAAGGAAATCTGTTTACTTGTTACAAGTGAAGTTGAGGCCACCATTACAAGATCCCTTCCACTTTTCGGGAGGACTGAAGCCATCGTCGCTGAAGCTATCCGACTCGGGCCAGATTCCGATATCGAGGACACTGATAATGACATTGCTATCAGCTGTAACATTACGTTTAACAGTTCGATTGAACCCCATGAAATCCCATGATCTTGTTGTTTGAAGTTGATAAACTTTATTCGGAAAAACCGAAACCACTCCTTTGAAGCCTGCATATTTGAAAGTGGTGAAAATGTATCATCAAGGCAATGCAAGTCAATGAGAAAAAAAAAAGAGCTTTTACACTACTTACTTGCGGGTTTCTTTGCCTCTTCATCAGTGAGCTTAGCAGAAAATCCATTGAAGCTCCTTCTGTAACTTCTGATTAAGTAATTTTCCAGAGAGCTGAAGGGAACAAAACATCAGATTTCTGATTGATGGTTCTTATTCCTTCTAATTAACAATAAGAAGAATAAAATTTGGTTTATCTGATCAAAATCCTTAAATCATACCTCTGTTTAGGAAGTGCTTGAAGCATACCGAAACGATGGGATGATGGACTGTGTAGTCTCCACCAGGAAGTGATCCCAAGTATGCAATGTAAACCTGCATGATCACGTATGAACAAAGTGATCTCAGAGGTTAAAAAGTTGTTATTTCTTAAAATCCCGGGTTAAAACACGACATCTACACAGCGGTGTATGACCGTACGTAAGAAGTAAAGCTCATGCAAAAGAAATAACTTGCCTTTCTATCCTCCTCCACAGCACCAGAAGAAAGGCTCATGCAAAGCATGAGGATGACAGAAATGTGAAGAAACAACAAGAAACTTGATTTTCCCATTCTTTTTCTCTTTGTTTGAGTATGAATCAAACAGAATCATAATGGTATTTTATAGTGGATTCAACAATACTTGATCATAACTGATATTTTTCTCTTTGGTTGTGATTTTTAACCATTTCTGTATATATTGTTCACTGTTTTATAAGCTTGTGTTCTTTTTGCAATATTTGTTAACTATTTTATAAGATCATATTATCTTAACTATTTTATAAGATCATATTCATTCAGATGACTACACATGCAAATTTCTCTAATCATATAACAAAAAAGTACAATGAAAAATCAATTTATTTCCAAATAAGTTAAATTTACATCCTTTTATGCTTCTTGCAAATAGATACAGAAA